GGAGGAATAAGATTACTAGATTAGAACAATATGAGGGGGTGGTATAAGGAGATAAAAACTTGATGGAGTATATCACTGCTTTTTATTAAAATTTATTTGGTCCACCAGATAATTCCTCTGTTTCTCTAAATATTGATAATCCTATTAGGATTCCAATGGAATATGCTAATATTTTAGTGGAGGAATTTTCTTTGGAAGAAATTAAGAAGGTTGTCTTTAAAATGGCACCCAATAAATCTCCTGGGCTAGATGGCTTCACTGCTGAATTTTACCAACACTATTGGGAGTTGGTGAAATCTGATTTGAAAGCTTTGTTAGATGATTTTGCCAATAGGAAAATTGACATTAGCAGACTAAACTATGGGATTATAACCCTGGTTCCAAAAGGTATTGGTGCTAATCAAATTCAGAAGTCCAGGACAATTTGTTTGCTAAATGTATGCTCCAAAGTCCTGATGAACAGGCTTAATTTGGTAGCTGCTGAGGTCATCTCCCCTGTTCAAACTGCCTTTGTTAAGGGCAGGTATATCATGGAGGGGGTTCTGATCCTGCATGAGGCCTTGAATAGCATTAAAAAGCAAAAACAAAGTGCTATGCTTCTGAAAATTGATTTTGAAAAGGCTTATGATAAAATCAAATGGTCCTTCCTTTTTCAAATGCTCAAACTGAAAGGATTTCCAGATAAATGGATTGACTGGGTTATGGAAACGGTTAGAGGAGGGAAAGTTTGTGTCAAAGTTAATGAAAATTTAGGAAAATATTTTTGCTCTTATAAGGGCCTGAGACAAGGTGATTCTTTATCCCCTTTAAACTTTGATCTGGCTGCTGATGCTCTAGCAATTATGTTAAATAAAGCCAGAGAAAATGGATTGGTCAAGGGGGTATTGAGTGATTATACACCAAATGGGGTTAATATGCTGCAATATGCAGATGACACCATATTTTTGCTGCAAGATGATATGGAAAGTGCACACAACTTGAAATACATTCTATGTTTGTTTGAACAAATGTCTGGGTTGAAGATTAATTTCCATAGAAGCGAACCTTTTCTATTTGGTGAAGCAATTGATAAGAAAGATGAATATACCAAAATATTTACATGCCCAGTGGGTACTCTGCCCATGAAATACTTGGGGTTGCCCATTGATAAGAATAGAGTTAGTAATAAACATTGGAAGCCTCCAGAAACTAAGATGGAAAAAATGTGAAACTTGGCAAGGTAGATTACTAGCTAGTGCAGGGAGGGTTACTTTGATCCAATCAGCCCTTACAGGCATACCATATTTCATGATGTCCTTTTATGGGCTCCCAGTGGGGGTTGAGAAACGTATGGATTTTTTTAGGGCCAGACTGTTATGGCAAGAAGATGATCAAAAGAGGAAATACCATCTGGTGAAGTGGTCTGAGGTATGCAGGCCAAAAGACATGGGGGGCCTGGGAATACAAAATCTGACCTGTATGAACAAAGCTCTGCTATGTAAGTGGTGGTGGAAACTATATACAACTGAGGGGCTGTGGCAAGACATAGTTCTTGAAAAATATGTTAAGTGTAGAACTTTGGGTAATATTCAGGCCAAACAGGGAGATTCCCAGTTTTGGAGGGGAATATTAAAACACAGAGACCATTTTGTCTCCTTGTGCAAATTTAAAATTGGAGATGGAAAAAGAGCTCGATTCTGGGAAGATTGGTGGATTGGCAATGCTCCACTAAACAAGAATTTCCCTAGGCTGTATGATTTATGCTTCGACAAAAAGAAAACAGTTAAAGAAGTTCTTGACAACGGATTAGATAATGTCCAGTTTAGAAGAACTTTGTTAGGAGATGCAAGAGAGTTGTGGGGGCATATTAAAGAGGCTTGTAGTGTGGTGACATTGAATGAAGATAGAGATGAAATAAAATGGACTCTCAATAAAAAGGGAGTCTATACTGTCAAGTCCTTCTATAGACACTTGATTGAAAATGGTGTCAAATATCCACATCTGTACATGTGGAAGATTAAAATGCCACCTAGAATCAAGGTTTTTATGTGGTTGGCGCTTAGAAAAAGTATTCTCACAAAAGATAATTTGATTCATAGGGGATGGAAAGGGGATGATAAATGCCCTTTTTGTGGGCAAAAAGAGAACATAAATCATCTTTTTCTGACTTGTTCAGTTGCTAGATTGTTGTGGAACATTTTAAAATGTGCTTTCAATCTTAGAGATACACCAGATACATTAGATGCTGTTATGAAAAACTGGTAAATACTTTTGGAAAAAATGAAAAAAGTCTGGTCATGATAGGAGTATCAGCGATTTGCTGGACTATCTGGAAGCTTAGAAATAGTGTGATATTTGACAACAATAGGGTGAATGATCCCTGTGTTCCTGTTACTCTGTTTCTTAGAAACCTAAATGATTGGAATATTTTGCAGACAAATCCCGCAAGGAGTAAGCTGATGGAGGCTGGAGTGAAGCTAGTGAGTGAGGTGGCAGAAGAAATTTTCAAAGCAGCTCATGGGTGGCGCCTGAAGACTGGGAGGATCGAAGGGTGACTGAAGTCCTCTCTGCTGCGATGGAAAAATCTTGGCTCCTGCCATTTCATTCTGGCTTTGCTTCATTTTGCTGATATTCGGACGCAGTGGATGGTCCTGTAATATACTTATGCCAAAACTTGTAGTGTCTTTGTAGCCTCTGTTCTCATAACAGAGTTGTTGACGCTCTGGGGGCTGGATTTTTGAATCCGGGCCTTGGACCACTCTCGTAGGTTCCCTTTCTTTGCCTTTGGGGTTCCGGGGAGGAGAAGAGATGGCTTCTCCTTCCTCCTCAATTTGGCAGAGAAGTGTTTCGTAGGAGAGTGGAGTATCATGTTGGGGAGTGTATCCTTTTTTTCCTTTTTCTGTAGCAAGACCTAGTGATTTTTTTAATGGAAATCGAAGAGAATGCTCTCTTTTATTAAAAAAAGCTTTATTTATTTATTTATTTATCTTATTTCCAATTTATTACCAGCTGAGAATGTATATACTCTGTGAGTAAGTCAAATTTACAATAAATATTTTATGACACGGCACCCAAGTATTTTACTGGTATTGTCAAATTAGTTTCATAATATTTGAACCATTCGAATTACTATGTAAAATCTGTGAACTCGATGACACAAAATAAGATACATGTCACCGGATATATTCTCATCCATACATGTTCCAAAGTTGTCATTTCCATTACATCCTTTCTACTGCTCTTAAACTAAACACATTTGTATGCTCTTCAATCTCCACCTTGCTACATCGAACAGCATTGACTTCAATCTGGTACAAATCTAGACACCCAGAAACTAGAATCTACATGACAGAGACTATGATGTTCCTTTGTTGAAATGCAATAGACTAGCATGCCATCCCATCATGGCCTCTTTCACAAACCAGAATCTTTGAGAAATACAATGCATATCCATCCAAAACAAACTGTTGCATCATGCACCACTGGACATTTCCATCGCTCATCCATTCAGTCAACTTTTTTTCCTTCTTATCAGTGACAACCAAAGACACCTCATTCAGTCATCTTTACTCTTTTACTAGAAAAGACACCACTTTCCAAGCAACATCACATCTTTGGCAGAAAGCCATCAGAAGAGAGCACGTACTGCACATCTATGCCCGCTCCCTCCATTCATTCAGCTTCCCTTTGCTTTTCAGTCACCCTAGCCATCCAACACCAATCATCTTTGCTTTTTTTTTCACCTCGGCATGCATGTGATTGGTTGATCCAGCATCCAGCATCTTGCAGTTTCTGTTAGGAAGGTCGGAGTCAGGTCCATGGCCATTCTATTCTGTACCTCTACAACCTACTCATCCCTTGCTCATCAACTTAATTTGTGTTTAGGTATCCACCATGTATTGCCATGTCCACGGATACCTAAACACAAATTAGCTATTCCTTCGAAATTCTTATGAAATTAGCTATATATATATATATATATATATATATATATATATATATATATATATATATATATATATATATATAGAAAACCAACTTGAGGTCCTATTCGTGTTTTTTTCTTGCGCGAGAAACTTCCAATCTATTCTTCTTCAATCATGTCCGTACAAAGAAAACTAGAGATAATAAAAATTACAATCAAGTCCGTGGACCACCTAGTGACGACTACGAGCACTAGAGCAAGCCGAAGGCGTGCCGTTGTCATCACCCCTCCCTCGCCGGAGCCGGGCAAACCTTATTGTAGTAGACAGTCGAAAAGTCGTGCTAAGACCCCATAGGATCAGCACACCAGAGCAGCAGCCATCGCCGAAGAAAGTTGTAGATCGGAAGGACCAAACTTGTAAACACCCAAATGAAGACGAACAAAGACTGGATCCAAACAGATCCACCAAAGACTAGCACCGACCGAACCCCGCGAGATCCGACAGAGACACACCTCCACACGCCCTGCGATGATGCTAGGCGCACCATCGAGACATGGATAGAATGTGGGAGACGTTATTCCTACCGAGAGACCCATGTTTTCTTTTCTTTATGTCTATATAATTCCTTTGCTTTTCCTGCGTGAAATTCAAACGATGGTTTTAAAGTTTTCCCGTGGTTTTGGTTCCCATAGAAATCTAGAACACATGACATCTCAATTACAGTATTCCAAATTTTGAGTCCTGTGTTGGAGAAGGGGCCTAAAAGCCCAGCTCACTTGCTTCCGTTCGAGGGGCAATATTCGTCAGGGGAAGCGCAAGCGAGCTGGATCCCCTGGAACGGAAGCAAGTTACCCTTACCCGGCACATCATCACCGCATCATCACTTGCTTAGCCGTCCATCTGTTCAAGCTTAGTTCTGGCCAACCACAGCAGACAGCACCCAAGCACCATGCCTTTTCCCGGCACAGTTCAGTTTAGTACTAGAAAGATGAGGATGTTCCACCGGCCATGAAGGTGAAATTGATGAAACCTCCATTACCACTACCGCTCGTACACGTACCTCATAGTACCATACTCCACCACCTCCATATATAAATGAATCGAGTGGTCGACAGATACATACACGCTAGCCACTACACCATATGGATTTGCAACTTTGCAAGCAAGCAAGCTAGCTATCTAGCTAGCTCCACCATGGATGAGTTCACTTTCCCCACTGTCCCGGGAGGGCAGTGCAAGCTCGCGCCGTTCCCTCCGCCGTGGTTCGTCGCCGCCGTCGCAGAGGAGGAGGAGGGGGACGACGGCAGCGGCGGCGGCGGCGCGCCGTGGGGTCGCGACGAGAAGATGGACATGCTGTGGGAGGACTTCAACGAAGAGCTGGCGCGCGCGCCGCCGGTGTGCCCTCTGAGCCCCGTGAGCAAGGGGGGCGGGCTGATGGCGATGACGATGATGAAGGAGGCCGAGTGGTTCTACAGCGACGGCGACGGCGACGGCGATGACGGTGGTGTCATCGAGGCGAGGAAGCGTACTGGCAGTGGCAGGCACATGGTGGTCCGGCGCCGGAGGTGGAGCCTGCTGCTGATGCTCAGGTTGCTCAAGAAGCTCTTCCTGGTGAAGAAGTCCAGGAACGGGAGAACCGCGCCAATCTGATCACCTCAGATGAGCTCCAGAAGTCAATGCAGAAATTATTGGTGCGGTGCATCAGTCAGTACTCAGTAGTGTGTGCATAGTTGATACGTATATCATATACTCTACATGTGTAATTTTGCTTTTTCTCACAAGACTTATTTTTGGCTGAAGAGTGTATTCTTCTTCATCTTTCTCTTGTTTTGATCAACTTGTTCTTCTTCTTGGCATCAGTATATTCCCAACTACAAACAATTGTGTTTCCCTCAGAATCATCTAAATTTTGGTTTCGGATCAAGTGCATTACATGTTTATCAACAGCACTAGGATGACTGAGATCACAATTCCGTATGGACATTGCTCTTCCATTATCTAATCGTTCTTTGTGACTGAAGCAAGTTGTGTTGGCAATTGTGTTGTTAGCATTGGGATGGGATGAACATGGCAAAGGTTGTCTGCCACCAACCTCGTAGATGCAGGTGCATCGCCGTCAGGAACCCACCTAAATCAAGGAGCCATTCAATTGCGGCACCGTCACCAACATCTCCACGCAGCACGTGAAGCAGAAAACCAGACGCCTCCCAAAGTCTCCAGCTTCATAAATGTTGCACTTAACAACACACTGCAACAACACCTCCTCTCACATCACGGTCACCGTTCTGCCAATTAGGGATCTTACTAATCCCATGCCTGATGATGCCCTAATGATCTTGCTCTGCATGCTACTGGCCCAATCACAATAACCCCACCTAACATCTTCAGATGCTACCTATTGTCCCGATCAATTAACATTAACCTCCTGGTGCTACTTCACTGACACTAGCGCCACGTGTTTGCAACCACCAGACAAGGCAAAGCTGGCCAGAGACGCACAAGCAGTGAAGCACATATCATTATCAGCCCATGTGGGGTTTTCTACCTAGGCAGATATTATTCGACGATAATCGACGCAAAAATGCAACGACATACATCAACAAGTTTTAAAGTTATAACTGCAAGCTGAAGGGCCTCAATAAAACCTAGTAGAAATAACACACTCTGTTCAAATAATGCAGAACTACAAATGGCAGCAATACTACACGGTTATTCTTGAACAGATACGACTGGGGCTAACCGATTTACTCCACAATCCAGTAAGAACATAGCTACGTTTATTAGAGATTCAATTTTTTTTTAAATGTCACCAATAATTGAATATTGTGTTCTTATTGCCTTCAAGCGCCATTTTTCTTCAAAAAAGAGGGAACCCCCCTGCCTCTGCAGCCTTCTAGAGCTCCAAATATATTTTTTAGCCAATGGAAGAGAACACTCCCCCAACACGTGCACATGACTGTTATTTCTTGCCAGGACCAGGGAGGAATGGGGTTATTTCTGGGACGACTCTGTAGATGTGTACTTTTATGTTGTCCTTCGAGAAGAGCTCAAAGACGCACACGTCGAACTTCTCCAGATTATTGTCTAGAGAAAACTTGCCCCAGCCACCACTCAAACCGCCAACACAGCGTTCGCTGTAGTAGACATAGTTAACATCCCAAGACTTTCCTTGCGGATTCCAGAGCTTTAACTTCCTGTGGGCACGGGGAAGACACTCCCTTACAAATTCACAGGGTAGATTCTGCAGTACAAGGAAGTGATTCAGGAAAGGAATAACAGCACAAATAAGGCAATGATCAAATACACAGGTATACGGCACGACTACTGTCTAGACTCTGAAATATAATTGCAAACCAGTCCACTCAGGTTCAACTCCTAGACTTGGCACGGGTGCTCGCATATTTCCTGGATTTATTTCAGGCCTTTTGGCGCTATTCACTCAGTGGTAAAAAAAAAGACCTGAAATATAACCGTTTCCCTACTGTGACCTAAACTAGGTCAGCCCAAATTTCGGGTTATTAATTTGGTGGGATTTTTATTTCAAGTTATATCTTTGTCAAAGTTTGGCAACAATATGTTTTTCTAGTCTCTTCACATGTATAATTTGGATTGACAACCATATACTCCATCACTCGAGTTATCACGTCATTCACACAACTTGACAATTTTGTTGACAAAGATCAGCAGAAATTTATCTCCTAAGTACCGATGCAGAGCCAGATGTTGAAAACTTGAAATCAATGAATTCACTGACCAAAGTCATTAAGAAAATTATCTAACTGAGATAAAATAAATTGAAAAATTAAACGAGTGGTAATTTAAAATTTGCACTAAAGCATCCTGTTCATGCCCAAAAGAATGAGACCATCCATGAATAACTCTTGGTAGTTTCACACAGCTAGCCAACCAAACGACACTCAGTGCTCTTTGTGCCCATACAAAAAGAAATGGTTGAAATCTAACAAAGAAGAGATAGTCCTTAATTCGATAGAAGTAATAACATATGTGGAGAAGGTAACATTACCAAGAAAAATCCCACATATACATAAGACTCCTTCATTATCTGAAGACAGAAAGGATTCTTGGATTTAAATTGTTTTGCCCTTAGCAGAGCATTGTCCTTCTGTATTTCAGTTACCAGTCGCCTTTGTGATAGTACTCTTAGTTGTCTCTTACCCGTCGCGCTATCTGACAAGTGCAATATAATCAAATTATTTACAGAAATCACACACTTATGATAATTGCATGTCTTACTAAGCACACATTGTAGCAAGCTTAATGATATCAAAAGAGTTTTAGGGATGGACTACTTACTTTGACCACATCTAGCAACATCCTTACTCACTCCGAGCCGAATGGGTGATGTCAATTCAGACTTGATGCAAGAGATACTTTGTTCTAACATGCTGCTTGAGGAATCAGAATCTGTGATATGGAGAGCATGTTTGTAAGTGAAATATATGTATCCTTACCACTTTCAAATAGTCAACACATTAATTTTTCATACCTAGTGTTAGTAAAAATGATATTAGCCATCTCTAACCTAGAGCTCAGAGATGTTCTCTCTAACAAATACTTGCATGTATTGACACACCAGATCACCTTCTGAATTATATGAATGGCAACCAATAATGTAAGCTGTAGTGTACTAGTCTAGACATGGTATGAATGGCACAAGTCCTTTATGCAATTATTGTGCAAATATGCACACTACACATTGTTGGCTTGTCGCTCCAACAATTCAAATAATTAGATTGCCAATTGTTACTAGCTACTTTTGTTAGATAACAGACGATAGATCCTCACCGGCCTATGCATCTAGAGATGTTACTATGCTGACTATGTCAAAATGAATCATACACTATTTTCAAAATTGAAGACAGGTTTACCTTCAGTACTGTCAAGACTTGTTGAAGCTGACTTGTAAGTACCGACTGAAGCTGCAGGACACCTCTTCTTATCCTTGTCTGAGGCGATAGAGGACTTCTGCAATGCAGAGTCATTTGCATCGATTTCTCTAAGCCCTGAGGACTTCTTCAACGAAGAGTCATTTGCATCGATTTCTCTAAGCCCTGAGGACTTCTTCAACGAAGAGTCATTTGCATCGATTTCTCTAACCCTCGAGGACTTCTGCAATGCCCAGTCATTTGCATCGATTTCTCTAACCATCGAGGACTTCTGCAATGCAGAGTCATTTGCATCGATTTCTCTAACCCACGAGGACTTGTGCAATGCAGAGTCATTTGCATCGATTTCTCCAACCCTCGAGGACTTGTGCAATGCAGAGTCATTTGCATCGATTTCTCTAACCCTCGAGGACTTGTGCAATGCAGAGTCATTTGCATCGATTTCTCTAACCCTCGAGGACTTCTGCAATGCAGAGTCATTTGCATCGATTTCTCTAACCCTCGAGGACTTCTGCAATGCAGAGTCATTTGCATCGATTTCTCTAACCCTCAAGGACTTCTGCAATGCAGAGTCATTTGCATTGATTTCTCTAATCCTCTTCCTAGTGGTTTGGTTGCTCTCTTCTAAGGGAACAACCACTGCCTCTGGTGGGTCAGCTGCATTCATGTCCACGTTAAGGCTCGTCGGTGCCACGTTACATGTAACAGCCGAAGCTTCAGGCATACCGTTTTCCAAGATACTAGAGCGGTTCTTCGATGTAGAGCCATCTGCATCCATTTCTGTAACCCTCTTCCTAGTGGTTCCATTACTCTCCTCCAAGGGGGCAGCCGATACTTGTGATGGATCAGCTGCATTGATGTCCATGTCCCCTTTACCACTTTCTATTTTAACAACCAGATTCTTGCAAGGCTTAGCATGAAAAGCTGAAGGCTTCTCAATGCACATTCCATCAAAGATAACCACTGAGAATTGTGAGCGTCCATCATAACGGAATGTTAAGAAGTGACCCATCTCAATCGAATGGTCTCTGACAAATTCCTTCCATCCCTTCACAAAGAACAATCCTTCATTGTCTGAAGCCAGCTCTACAAGCCATTTGTTGCCACTTTGACCTTTTAGGGAAACCACTCCAGTAGGCTGACCCTGAAGGTACTGGTTGAATGATGGTGGAATTTTCTACATAGTATCATTAAATAAGGGCTTATTATTTTATCAATAACAATACATAAGTACTTGTTAACAATGTGTGATATGATCACAGCTCGAAGACAAAGCTATAAAAAAAATACTATATGCCGTATCATGTGACAGACTAGATGACACCCAATTGTACTACGCCATTAAAACAAGCCTGAAATAACAGTCTAAAATATGAAAAATGAGCATTCACAACACACATTGCCACAACATCTGAATAGCACTTATCCCATGCACCTGACAACAAATTAATGCATAATGCATCTTACACATGGTATATTAATACAAGACGCCGCCTACCGTTAAACCAAGCAATAATGTACCCAAACAGTATAATAAATATATGAACTTTCTAATGAGTTCAGAAAAGGGTAAAATGCACTTCGGTCCTGAGCTATAATGCTAAATTTTATCCCTCTACTTTGGAAAAAGTTGTCCATAGAGCGATGCGATGAAAACATCACCATTTCACCAGTACCTGGTGTCAACACAAAAATTGTGTTCCTGGTGAATAGACAATTGGAAGGTACTCCTCATAAAGGGGT